ATAATATATTATTTTATATATATATATATATATATATATATATATATATAAATTATAAATTTGCACAACAGTATCTTATAGTGTAAATCGTCGCTAAATTCGTGCTGAAGATAATTGTGTATTAATTAATGAATAGATTCACCTCTTTTTATTATTGAAATTTTTTAAATGTATTAAAAATAATTTTTTTTATCTCTAAATTTATTATGGAAATATTTTAATAGATTTCCACGTCAGGTACAATTGCTGACGCGTTCTTTTTAGAACGGTTTCTACAGTGGGGCTTGAAGAAATTTTTTTAAATTTTAATGACAAAGAGAGAAGAATTTAATCATTAACTAGGTAGTGCAGCTCCTGACCTGGGCGGCTTTGGTCTTATTGTTAGCGCTGCGACGCGCGCGATATAAGAGAAGGAGAGAAAAGAAGGCGTCAATCGCGAGAATCGGCTGAAATGCTGAGATAATTCCAAGCACTGATGTAAATAATTGCGAGCAATAACTTCTAACTTTTAACTCTACCAGCTTATGTAATAAAAATATAATTAGTTATTTAAATGATTACAAAGAATATTAGGTAAAACATATGTAGGTACACCAGTTTTTCGACTTATATATATAATTTTAAACATTGGATAAGCAATTTTATAATTGTTATATATATATACTTATAATGTTTAAAATTTTAGCGTAAAAAATTAAATTTCTATCTTTGAAATGTAAATTGACATACATGTGAAAATTTACACCTATAAATGTCGGTCTCAATATTATCCATAATAATTATTATAAATCTAAGCAACAGTTTCTTACAGTGTAAATCGTCCCTAAATTTGTTCTGAAGATCATTGTATATTTTCATAATGTAATGATGCCGACATAGCATTCGGCTCAAAGAACCAAAATCTTCGATTAGATGCTGCGCAAGTTAAATGTAATGATGGACAAAATAAACAATAATTTAACGGATACACTCAAAGCACAAATTAAAATAAATTTTTGTGTGGGACGTTATAAATTATAATTACACTTACTGAGAGAACTTACTGAAAGAACTCCATTTACATTACTATGTGTAAAATTATCATTAATATAACACTGTGGAGTATGCGCGATGCATTACGTGTAATTTGGCAGTAAAGTGTAAACCACGCGATAAAATCACCAAAGGCCAATTAAACGTTTAAACAGAATTCGTAACAAATTATACGATGGAAGTTATACAATGGCTTAGTCGCATGATGCATAGAGTAAACATCTTCCGAGTCGCGGCGTGTGGACCATTGATCACCAAAAGAAATATAGTAAAGATAAGGTAATCAAAGATAACTAACGTCCCCGACGAGGAACACTTCGCCACATGCACATAACGAGTTACTCCCGAGTCAACGCGCGAAATATTCGATCAGCACGTCGCCGAATGCACGGCGATAACCACTGTACACCACTGTATATCAGTGCTAATTGCGAAAGAAAAATAAAAATAACAATGCGAACCACTCAATTGCAAAGTTTTATATTTGCGAAAATAGAAATTCCCGAAACTTCTTTGAAAACTGTTTCTCGAATATTCCATGAAGCAATATTTGTCAAATAATTATATGTACGCAATAAGAATGTGCACAAAATGTATCAAGTGTAACAATAATTTAATGCAGTGCTATACACTGTTTTCGATACCCATGTTATACATTTCATAACAGATTTTAATATCTGAAATCATACTTTTCTTACTTCAAAAATAACACAAAGATAAATTCGTAAAAGTTTGATAATATTACAATTTACAAAAATCATAGAAATGTTAAATAAAATTCAGCTTAATATTTTAATTTAATATTCAATTATTCAATTTAATATTAAAAAAATTATTCGTCTTCGTGTATTCGTCCATAAATTTTCAATGTTATGCTTACGTAATAAATTATTATAATTTCCTCAATATGTGAAATGTTTCGCAATGTAAAAATTATATATGTTATTTTTTTCATATTCTATCAGCAACATTTGGCTCTGGAGTAACACAAACAGCTAATCTTTTAAAAATCGATTTCTGCGAAATATTTAATCATCGTCTCGTATAAGAAATGCGAAATAGAATTTTTCAATTTACTCAAACGCTACCTGATTTAATATATTGGTTCGTAACGTTAATGATTATCTGAAAATGTAATTGTGCAGTCTCTGCAGAGTAAAAGTCATATAGCGATCCGTTCTTACACAGAGATTTTCAAACGGTAAGAGGGGTTTCCTGCTTTCTAGTAGAGATCCGCGAAAGATTGCATTGTAAAAAAATTCGATAAATTTTAATAACGCAAAGCAGATATTAAAATACATGTTAAAGTAAATTAATAACAAAAACTTATAAAATTATTTTTGAAAAATTGTATGTCTTATTTGTGTAATCTGATCAAATATTTTTCCAATGACGATAAATTTTTCGAGCATCTTGCTAAATAAAATAAATTTATCATTAAAAAATAATTTTTGTAAAACTAAAATAGTATAAAATAAATAAAAAAATAAAATTTAAATAATAATAATAACATTATATTAATAAAATACGTTATAAAATAAAAAATAGACGTTGATAAATTTTTAATATGTGAATCACATTAGTATCCTATTGGCTACATATTAAAATTAATCGTATTATTGACGACTTAATTTATTTTAATTAAATTATATTTTTACTATCTTTCCGTATAGGAAATAAAAATTAAAATTCAGTTAAGAATAAAACCAAAAATACAATACAACTGTGAAACGGCAATAGTCATTTAAGTTTATCATAAACTTATTTAATAAATATAGCTCTTTAAATTAATACATTAATCATAAATTTATTACAGGAGCTGGTAGAGCTAAACGCCAGAATTTAATGCTCGCAATTATTATTTACATTATATAAAAAAACCACAGACGTTTCGGCCTTGGGCTTAGGCCATCTTCAGTGTCGAAGGTAAACAAACAATTTTTGATAAACGATCTAGAAGTCACAACGCAACGCTTTTTAAAAATTTTACATTTAACACTACTTAATATATGTAATATATTTCATAACTGATTTTAATATTTAAAATCATACTTTGCTTACTTCAGAAATAATACGAAGATAAATACGTACAAATTTGATTATATTGGAATTTACCAAAATCGTAGAAATGTTAAATAAAATTCAGCTTAGTTAAAAACAAATCTTTTTGCAATTTTTCCTGTAATCGTTTTATCCGAGATTTGGTTTAAAACATTTTTAAATCAAATCATTTATTAAAGATGGAAAGTTGCAAGTAACAAATTACAATTCAATTTTTTAGAACAAAATACATTAAAATTAAAATTATTTATTGGTCTAATTTTTATCTCCAACTCATAAACTCTGGTCTTTAAAATCTAGTCCGATACGGATTTATTGAAACGTAATACAAAAATCTTTTATTGAGAAAACGATGAATTACAGTTTTATACATTTAAGTTCTTTAAACATCACTTGCGATTATAATTCAAGGAAATGATAATATCACATTGTAAATTATAAAAATTGATCAGTGATTATGCTGCTAGTTATGCACGTCTGTCTGCTAATGTTGTAAGTTAAAAACATAAATAAATTTTATAATTCTAACAAAATATTTTATAGGTATAGATACATATAAGGGCGTACTTTCGTATTTCTGCAATCAACATATACTGAAAGAAAGGTGTGTGATATTTAGATTATTGCATTTTATCATAATTATAATCGCGATACTCATTTTTATAGAAATTGTTAGTATAATGTTAGCAATGTAATAACCTTATACGTATTGTATTGCCGAAAAATAACCAACCATGTAGTTAGAACATTTATAAAAATATTCTTGGTGCCAAAAAGCAATATAAATAATGATTACTGCTATTTTTCTTTTCTCTCACAGTATCAGTTGCATTTTTCTCAATATCAATATATTCTACATTACAAATATTTCTTTGATATAATAATTATTTTAGATACAATTAATTAAATATAAAATATTTATTTAAACATTATTTGTTTAAAGAATCAGTTGTAACATGTCTCATACACATTGCCACTGCTATGCAAAGTGGCCGTGAGATGTCACCGCGTCTCTCGATATCTGTTGGTTAGATTTGACCGACGTATCAATATTTACATTTAAAAGAAAACTATATCATATTTCTTCCTTTATTTCCCTCTATCGGACACTTTTCGGTATAAAGGCTCCTGTATGTAAGACTCGTATTCAGTTATCTGCGTTTAGTCAGTTGAAACAGACACAATGTCAAAAATTATCGTAACTTGAGAGAATGTGTGGAAGCATTTTACACAAGTGGAAGCATTTTCCAACGTGAAATTTGGAGCAAAGTGCAAGATATGCAAAACAAGTTTCCAATACGTCATTTTTGATGGTTTAGTAAATCATTTACAATCATCGATACATGAAAATTATTTCATGAACGTAGTAGAAAGAAAGGTAAAATATGAAGCGTATTTATATTATGAAGATTATGATACTCCATCGCCAAATTGTTTACTTTGTAATGTATTTGTTGAATATGAAAATTTTATAAATCACATGAATGACTTTCATACTGCAAAAGAAAAGATACGTTACGAAGCGCGCCTTGCTAAAGAAAAATTTTACAAACATACTGATAACGATTTGGTAATTGTTTACTATCACTGCCTCACCTCCGACTTTGATCCAATTAGGCTCTTTCGACGCGTTTTTTTTTAAAAAAAACTTTTTCCTCTCGCAAAATTGTCGCTCTCCTCCGCGAGACGAGATATTTAGCGTCAAAGTTGACGACTTTCCAGGTTAAGAAACCTGTCACTTCGACGAATTGCAGCAACATGAGTATGTGCTGCGGTCACGCGCGCATGCGTACTAATAGAATTGTGCACGAATACAATATTTTCGATAATCATTAATTGTAAGTCGCAAACCCACGTTAAGTAGTATAATTATGAACCTTGCTTTGCGTAGACACAGGGTATTCCGCCCCCCCTCCGGGGGGGCGGACCCC